TGAATCAAAGTGGGTCGTCACCGTCGATTTTCTCTTATGCTCCAACTCACAGTTGCACGGGGTGCAGAATAGTTTCCCCCCACTTTTTGCCCGGTCTTTAGTAGAAATGTTCGTCGGTAAATGAGATGGATTAGATTTTTTCATCTTGGTGTTTTCTCTATCGTGTGAACTCCACACATTCACTCTATACAGTGTTGTTTACATTCTGTGATGCGCGAGCTGATGACGTCACGTCAAGACGAGTTAACTTTTTTTTCTCCTCAATTTTGTGTGGAAAAATGCGGGGATTATGCGGCCTTTTGATAAATATGCGGGATTTTACAAATCNCATTATCAGTCGAGCATCAGTACTGGATTCATGTGGGCCATATCATTAACAACATGTGTTTAAAACTCAGATAAAGATGTCTTCAATAAGATCTTTATTTTATTGACTTTGATAAAAGTCCCCCTTTTTTATATGAACTGTCTTGTATTTCTTTTTTAGAACTGTTTTTGTATTCCTTTCTTTTTCTGGGCCATATAGTAAATATGAATACTAAATATTTTTAAAGAAAATCTAATCTTTTAAACATCTTGTTGACTGCTTTTTATTTGATTTATTTAACTAAAGTTACAAAGTGTTTAACAAAAAAAGCTAAATTGTTCTATAAATAAAGAACATTATAATGATTATTTCTATCTTTACAACCTACTTGTGTCATATAATAATAACAGTAATAATAATACATGGGACTTTTATAGCGCTTTTCCGAAAGCTCAAAGACGCTTTACATATATTACATATCTAGGACAACGTCTATCCCTGCTCTCCTTTTAAAGCCATTACAACTCCTTTATGCAATATAGGACATGATGTGCTTGTTTTTGAAAAAAGTAACTTGGCTAGCTCGCTTCAATTCACTCTGGGCCGGATGTGTTTTCCATGTGCTTTCATTTCAGTTGTTCTGTCCAGTGATGATGATGAGGAGGAGGAGGAGGAGGAGGGCGGTGACGCTGCTCCCTGCAGCCCAGCGGTCCAAACACCGGTCCCTGTGGAAGACGTAGTAGTAGAGATACAATCCCCACGGAAAGCTGAGGACAAAGAGCAGGAAGCTTCTGACCTAGAGGACGTGCAGGTTAGCAGGACTTCTCCCTGTATTACGACTGATCCATATATCTGGATTGAACACATTTCATAACAAGATCCATAATGCTTCGTCGGAACACAATCTAGTCTCTTATTCGATAAGAGCAAAGCATATATGAATCTTGGAAAATAGTAAAAGGGACATTCAGATGTTTTTCTCAACTCATTATTTGTTTTTAGCAAAGTTTTAGCCCTGGTTTAAACATCAAAAAATGTAGCACTATATGAAAAAAAGCATGTTGCTCAATGGGCCCGGGGATATTGGCCTTAAATCACAAAAGCTTGAGTGATTAATATTCATATTGCATCTTATGCTAACAAGATATTATGAAAGAAATGTTTGCGATATTAAACTACAACAAAGTAGCAGCATGCATAGCTGTCAGTGTGTCATTCTTCTTACTAGCACTAGGTGGCGCCAACAGAAGGAAGATTTAAATCCCACACAAAATATTGTGTCTTAATAGTTCTATACATATTTGACTGTTAATGTGTATAACCAATGTGTTTGAACCGACTTTCCCAACAGTGTGTGTATGTTTCTGTGTTGCAGGTGCTTATAGAGGAACCTGTGTCAGTGGCAATTTCTCCAAACCTCAGTATAGACTTCTCCTTCTCCACGCTGCACTGTGGTGGTTATCGAGGGAGAGCAAATGGAGAAATCATGGTATAAACCACAAATATATTAATTTGCCGATGCTGAACACAGATTTTTTTTTAAAATCACATTTCAGGGGAAGGAGTGTAACACATTGTTTACTCTTTCTTTCAAAGATAGCAGACCAAGAAATCATCATCCCGCTGGAAGGTAATGATAAGAGGAGTTTTTACCTTTGGTGTTAATTACGCTTGAATAGACTCTGTGTTGTTGAGAGGCATTGGCCTACCTGAGCCCTTTGGTCTGAACTTGTTTTGGTCATGCTGTCTACACACATCCACTCCCAGCTTACTGGTCTATTTCAGATGGTAAAGTATGTGTGTGTTACTGGATTAGACCCTCAAGGCCCTAGAGCACTCTCAGCTTTTGAGACCGTGTTTGTGTGTAAGAAATATGTCTGGTTAAAAAAAATAAGTTGCATTGTAAAACGATATTCTTGGTTAGATACACATTTTATTGCAGGTAAACCTCTGGCTGAAAAACAAATCATGAAAGAGGTCGCTGGTTACATTAGCCTTGACCCGCCTTCGTGGTATTTCAAAGTGCATTTCCAGGATGCAGTCAGTCAAGCTGTGCAATCCATTGTTTCATAAAAACAGGCCAATCTGATGCTATAACAATATCAAAAGAAAAACAAATCAAAAGAAAAACACACCTAACCCTAACCCAAAAAAGATCACAAATCAAATTGAAAGGATACCTTTAGAAATGAGAAATTGACAGAGGTGAAACATTTCAAGTGATTTTTCTGAGATTAGATATCTTGTAATTGAGGGATACCTATATTTGTAATATGTTGTAGGACGGTACAGTTGGTCATTTAGTCACAGTATTTCTACCGCTTTGCTGCAAATGTTACGCCCCTTTCCTTTAAGATGGGGAGAAATTATCACAAGAGTGAAAAATGGTTTCATCACGTACATTTACTCAAGTGAGGGAATTACCCGTGAACCCCAAATGTGTTGGTGGAGACAAACAAAAGCAATGGATCCTAGATCAGACATTTAAGTGGATCAAAGATCAACATGTTATATTGAACATGTCAAAACGTAAATATTAGTTATCTTCACAGTTTAGTATTCTATTTATACAATAACCATACAATCTTTGTGTGTCTAATGTAATATATGATCTTTTTAACCACATTACATATTTTATCAAAGGAAAACATGAATTTACTTTCTTCTATTAAAACCATCTATTACACAAACTGAAATATCTCTTAAACTATTTGTAGATGTTACAGTGCTCCAACTTAATTGAAATCCATCAAAGAAAATCTGAACTGTGCAGGACCTCGGTTGACTTTCTTTGGTTATGGAAGAAGTAACAATGTTCATCATTTGATATCAACAATGCGATCTCAAGGTTCACCTGACCTTCTCATCCTTCCCAGGTGATGATACTGGAGAGGTGGAGGTGAGGCTATATCTGGACCGTAAAGACGTGAGGAGGTACAGCGTGTGGGAGCAGCAGGAACTGGTGGAGCGGGATTTTCACTTTGAGGACGGCGAGGAGCCTTTCCCTGCCGCCATTCTTCTGTTATGTGTGTCAGAAACTGCTGCAGCTGCTTTACAGCGAGAACTACAAAAGCTGTGTTTGAAACAACATAGAGCGACGAGCACTGGTGAGACCAATAGAGAGCTTTGAGTTAGGCGTTGCACAAGTGTTGTTTTTAAAAAGATACACTTTAGATTTCTACTGTTGGCAACTTTGTGTCCTTCAAATTGTCCTGGTTTCAATTTACAAATATCAGTTTTTCTGTTCATACTTCCTATGTCATTTTAAGTAACGTTCGTTATGTCACATGATAATCTGCATGGTGCACGATGACCTTGATTGTACATTTAGATTTTCTTTTTTTCATAGGCAAGGCGAGCCCGTTTGTCCTGCTGACCCTGAGATATCCTGTGGTGGGAATGGAGGGGGCTTTATTACGCTCCCTCCTGGACATTGACTGTCTCAACAGTCTGGCACAAGGAACCATTGATTGTGGCGACAAACTTCGTTGTTTGGACGACTTCAACACTCCTGTTCTTTCTCTGGATGATAGCCTAGAGCTGATCAGAAGAACTGGACTGGACTCTCCCCTGCTGTCTCTGCTGGGCCTGGACTGCTCTTACCCTCGATTAGACACAGACGATTATGATCTGCATTCTGATATAGAATTAAGCACCCCACCATACGTCGAGCTGGAGGTTGATTTACAGGAAGAGACAGAACTGAAGCGGGACACAGAAACAGATTCAGACACAGAACTCAAACCAGAGGAGGGTCGCAAAGAACAAGAGCTCGAACAACAGCCTGAACAACAGCCTGAACAACAGCCTGAACAGCAGCCTGAACAACAGCCTGATCAACAGACTGATCAACAGACTGATCAACAGCCTGAACAACAGCCTGAACAACAGCCTGAACAACAGCCTGAGGTAAAACAAAGCAGCATCTACCTCATCAGGGGAGGAACATGTGTATTGTTATACTCAAAACTGTGAGACAATTCTAAGAAAATAAGCAGAATAACTGGCAGCAGATTTTTCTTTCCATCTCCTGTGATTCATCTTGCAACCCCCTCAGATTTGTGTTCCTCTGGATGATAACCATTGGTCAAAGGTATATGGTTATAATTCTGCTTCCTCCCACAGAAGAAAAAGGAGGAGCCCCCTCCTGTGTACACGCTGAGCCATCGTAGAACAAACAAGTCCTACTCCGTGTCCCTTTGTAAACCGGACTCCAGCTGGACTACATTTAAACATCATGGAGTGGCACGAAGGCAAGTGACCTGCATTATCATATATGCTGCTTCTCATAGAGCCTTGCCCTGCACAGGCTGTCAAACTAAGATAGAACATACTAAGAGTAAATAGAATAGAATGTTTTTAGTCTTTTCACAAAGTACAACAAAAACAACAATCCTAACTTTGCATGAACACATATTAAACAGTTACAAAGATACAAATAAATATAAGTAATATAATCAAACAAAGGAAGTGGTCTGAGGTAGGGCTTTGCGATTATGGCAAAAATCATAATCACGATTATTTTGGTCAATAATTGATATCACGATTATTAAAAACGATTATCCATCCATCTTCTCCCGCTTATCCGTGGTCGGGTCGCGGGGGTAGCAGTTCCAGCAGAGAGCGATTATCCATTTACTTTGAAAACATCCATTTATTTTAAATAATAATAATCGTTTTATTTCAATTACGTTGTTTTCGTAATCGTTGCAAGCTAAAATCGTAATCGAGATTAAAATATGATTAATTGCACAGCCCTAGTCTGAGGGACAACGAGTATCTGTTCTTGTTAAATGTTAGTTGTTAGTGGTATCAACAGAAGGGACATTTTCCTTGCATAGCATCCCTGCCTACCACTGCAGATGATGATCAGTTCAAATGTGCTCTTTGCGTCAACAGCTATATCTGTAATACATGACCTGTCATCGACTGTCATTGTACACGGCTCATCTTTTCTTTCTTCCACCTCTGCTCAGGTTGATACAGTTTCCTCCCCCACCGTCGAAAGGAGGGATAACCGTCACCATGGAGGACCTGCAGTGCCTCGACACAGGGATATTCCTTAATGATGTCATCATCGACTTTTACCTCAAGTAAATAATGCCTTAAAATGTCATTTGGTTTCTCACACGTTTTGTAGAGAAGAGATCCACTTTTGAACAGATTGTGTTGCTGTGATGTGAAACAGATACCTCCTCCAGAACGCCTCTGCTGCCGTGGCCGAGCGCTCACACATCTTCAGCAGCTTCTTCTTCAAGCAGCTCACTCGCAGGGACAATGCCAGTGAGGGAGGCACCGTTACCACCGACTCGTAAGTATACCTGTTTTTTTGACTACTTTTTAGAGAACATCGACCCAGCACACCGTCCCTGACCGGCTTTTGGCTAACATCCACTGCATCCCCACTTCCTCCCATCCGGTTGTAACCATGGAGAATTCGGGGCCGCAACTTGGATAAGGCACACTCACACACGCTTACCTCGTGTAGTGTGCATGGAAAAAAAGGGTGCGGAGATTCCGTCTGGAGCCTACCGCGCACCATGTTCCCCAGGTCCCTCAGGAGCATGGGAAAACATAAGTGCACCACGTCCCCCACACGCTGCGTGTAGAGTGGGCATGGACAATAGTGAGGAAGGAAGTCCTCCAGCCCTGTATGAGGCTGATTGCGCACCATGTCTCCCGAGTCCCTCAGGAGCATGGGAAAACACAAGTGCTTTATATCCAGGGGGGGGGGGGATGCCTACTGACCCACAGCCACCCCCACTCTCACCAGTCATGCGTTGCCTCGGCAAGCACAGACAACGAGAAGGAGCCAGATATGTCCAGGAGATAACATTTTATGAAAGAGCCTGGCGTAGACCAAGACGCCGCCGTCCATATATCTTCTACACTCACGCCGCTGAATAACGCTGTTGCCACAGCCCGTGTGGCATGTGCACGGACCCCAGTGGGGATGGCTCTCCCTGCATAGGCATGTATAATGCACCCACATAGCCATCCTGTTAGGCGCTTCTTGGACAGAGCACACAAACAGCTGTTCAGTGCGTCTAATGGCAGCCGTGCGCTCTACATAACATGCTAGCGCACGCACTGGGCAGAGGAGGTGCAGTTTAGCCTCCCTGGCCTCAATATGGGGTGGAAGATTAAAGCCACCTAACTGAATAGCCCTTGACCCGAACAAACTCCTTAGGCTCTTAGGAGTAAAGGAGGGGTTCGGTCTGAGTGTCGCCCCGCTACGGTCACGCCGTATCAAAAGACAGCTTGGGTGCACCGACAGAGCGGTCAGCTCGGACACTCTTTTGGCCGAAGTCAAGGCATGTAGCAATGCTGTCTTCCATGACAGTGCTTTCAGGGAGGAGAGCTCCAGAGGCTCAACTGGTTCTGTGACCAGAGCCTTGAGCACCAACGGCAGGTCCCACTGTGGGGCGGAGGCGTGCACTACTGGGTGCCGCCTCCTGACCCCCTGCAAAAACCGCGCCATAAGCGGCTGACTGAAGGCTGACCTGCCTCCAAATCCCTCATGGCAGGACGAAATGGCTGCTGCATACACCTTAATTGTGGAATGAGCCAGCCCCCTGTCCACCAGTATCTGTAAGTAGGTAAGAATAGAGCCCAGCGTGCATGACAGAGGCTCTAGACTCCTTCCTTCACACCATCGCCTGAATCCCGCCCACTTTGGCCTGTAACAGGCTGTGGTGGATTCTGCTCTTGCTGCTTGGATAGTCTGAATAACGTTGTCAGACAGCCCCACCTGTCTCAGCCTGTCCCTCTCAGGAGCCAAGCCTGGAGAGGTTGGCCGAGAGTGGGTAATGCCCCTATCACTCAATCAATGTTTATTTATATAGCCCAATATCACAAATGTTACATTTGTCTCAGTGGTCACATCGTACAAGGAAAAACTTCCAAAGAAAACCCACAGTTTAAAGGGAAAAATGGGAGAAACCTCAGGGAGAGCAACAGAGGAGGGATCCCTCTCCCAGGACGGACAGACGTGCAATAGATGCCATGTGTAAATCGAAAAGATAATACATTTACAACATAGGTAGACCAAATGTTTGGAAATGCATGTGTTTATAATAAGAAGATGAATCCCCGAGGATGTCAGCAATCTTGTGGGAGCCATCAGGGAAGTAGTATGGTGAGTCAGGCAGGGCCGCAGAGACAGGTTCAGCCACGACTCGAAGTCCAGGACTCAGATCCTGAACTCAGGATTCAGGACACACGACCACAGCAACAGGATTAGACTCGACTCAGGATCCCGGCGTATATATGGGCACAAAAAAGAGATTTGGGGGAAGCTGGGTTCATCGGAACATGAGAGTACACAGGTACAAACAGACAGAAAGACGGAGTAAGGTGCCCCCCCCCAACAGTCCAAACCTATAGCAGCTAAACTAACGTGTCTACATACATTCACTCCCTTAGGATAGGTTGAGGGAAAAGGGTAGCAAGTAAGAAGTATTTATTTATTATTTATTTATTTATTTATTCATCAATTGTGACCAGCACATGCTGCTACCTCCAGCAG